GATAAGCTTCAGTACTATATTACTGATGTTTATATCACCTTGGAAAACATCAGTCTCTTAACGATTGAAAAATAAACCTTGTTGATGAGTTCCAACAATTATGAAACCCAGGTTAACCAGTTCTTCCTACCTATTGACTAACCAATTCTTACACCAAGATACAACAAATTACATTGTTGCGTCACTTTACTTAGTGGGCACATGGCAAAACTTGATCGATAGACTTTGAGCGGGCACTTATGATTAGACAGCTACATTAGTTATCCACAATTAACCACCCCATATTCTTGTCTGTCTGGAAATTTGTAGAGACCTGCTAATTTATTTAAGGTTGGAATTCATCATGGACTGACATCATTAAGTGTAGGACTCCTCAACAGTGTACACCCAGGACCCCACTCTCCAGGGATTCAATCCTGGACCTCCAGATTCTGTGGGCATCACGTTACCATTGTGCAACTGAGTCGGTATCCAGTGGTCTATATTTCCTAATTCTGTCAGTTCACGATGTAGTGTGACCTACATTCAGTGTCGTCGTTGAGTAACTATCCCTTCGTGTTGACTACTCATTCTTAGTTGGGTCAACAGAGGCTTGAAAACAACAACTCTTCTAAACAGTAAGGATACGTTAAAGTTATCCTCTGGATCTTATTACCATTCCAGGCACTGAGGTCTTGATTTAAGCTTTCCTAGACAAGTGATCTAGGCTAATCTATTGAGGTGCTGAAAAAGACTAAACAAAGTTGAAATTTGCAAGTACAAAGCTTGCCACGGCTTATGGTTTCTTTCAACCAGCTTCATTATTCTCTTGCTTTGAAGTAATGAAAGACATCCTTGAAGGATACAACGAATGACTGTTAGGGAATAGTGCTAAAGATTTCAGAATGAAGCTATTCGGAACTCATCTCCTTAAATTTATCATTATACTTTTATGAATTTAAGCTAATACATCCACATGAAAACTTTTGGCTGTGTCCATTCATTCATTCATTCAGAATATTTACTGTTTTCAGTGCATTGAGAGAGGCATTAATATTTTGTCTGAACTGTGAGTTATAGCCTAATGCACTAATTTGTCTTAAGAAACCTATGTCAACTTTGAGAAGCCCATCACTTCAAGTTTAATGTTATATCGACACCGTTAGCCTTTTCTTCAACAGAACTTCAGTTATTGTTTTTTAAAGTAATAAAATAGAGGGTTCGATGCAGTTTGCATTACAAGCAAAACTGATTCAATATTTTTCGGAAATGTATACCTTTTGATGCAAATAATTACTTCATTGCACTTTAGTTGGATACTGCATTATAAGAAGCAATTTTCTCTCAGCAGCCTGTTTCAGTCTAGTCAGTCTAATACATACCTGGAATCAGGTTGTCGAATTTAGATTGTATCTGCTCACTAAAACGATTGTCTTAATTCAGGTATCTAGTTTCTATGTGAAAGCTTGTACTCAATGATAAGAAACAGAGTTCTTATATCATAATTCAAGTGAAAATGAGGAGAATATATTCAGTGTCGAAACTAGTTATTACGAGTGGATCCTAAAATATGATAAAGAATTCTAACTCGTGTGAACCATATCTTAAGCTTTGATTTTGAGACTTCCGTCGACTGTTTCCCTCGTTTCCGGCAAACATTTCGTATGTTGAGTTGTGCTTTAATGTGTTCGCCTATACTTTTTTCTCTTTTAGATTCTGTATTTCGAGATATGTGGCACTAAAATAACTGGCATGTAAACAAGATGAAAACTTAAAAAGAGTTAGAAGTAATGGTTAGACAGGTATTTAGTGTTTCTGACCTACTACTCTACAGCAAGAAGGTAGAAACAACTAAATAATTTGAAAAATCCTGTGCTTTAGACAGTACAATTTTTTTTTCTTTTTTTCTATTTCTACTTCATAATTTTCAGATTTTGTTCAGTAATGACTGCTCGAAATGTAAGTGAAGATCTTGGGGATAACAGCCGGAGACCTTAAGTTAAAAATAATTAGTAACTCATTAGACGTCTAATTTTCTTTGATTTCTCAACTGAGTTCCAAACTTTGGGAAAAATGCCAGAAAATAAGATAAGCACTCTCTAAAGAAGTGCAACCTAATTACCGGATACCTTGTGATTGCTAGTATGATTTATTCTGGCTTAATTACAAAGTTTTGCTTCTACATAAAAGCTATAATTGTCAGTCAGGTTCCTACCTAGATAACTAATCTTTCGCTTATTTGATTCACCAACTAGTGCACAAATCTGGAGTACTCAAATTGATAAGCGCTAGTTACAAATCTGTAGTGCAAAATGAGTTTTCTGGATATCACTGCTGATTATCTATTAACTTATTAATAAAGATTTAAACAAGACTTTTGTTACGAAATAATATGATACAAAACTTCATACAATTTTCCCCACTTATACGCTTGAACAACGCAAAAGCAAAACGCTACTCAACCTCACGAGAAAACTGTGCTGGAAAGGAAACCTGAGAGGGAGTTATTCATTATTCAGAAATGTTTGTGTGATAATGGTTATCCGTAGAAGTTCATTGATAAATATGGGAAGTTTAATTCGAAAAATGGAGTGCGACACATTAGAGAAGGAGCCTGGCTTTTTAAATTTCCAAGAATCTGATATAAAGAGGGTCTGCTTGCATTGAATAGTGCGATTTCATGTCATGTAATTGATACTTGACACGGTGTTGACAGCCTCAAATCGTTCATAGTGTTCAGTAGGGATAAGAAGTCTAAGTAGCTCCTGTAACTTTTTTCCATTCTCGACAAGTGATCTTGTAAGATGAATAAGATTGGAAATATTCAGCTGCAATTTACTGAATTCTAGTAATTTAATAAACTATCTGAAGAAGGCGTGATTTGAAGCACATGACTGATAGAACATAGGGAGGACTCATCGATCATTGAAAAAAAGGGTCACAGAATATATTACAAAGTGGCTTCAGAAACAAATAGAGTTATCTGACCCCACTGATACTAGAAAAAAAACGTCCGAGCTCCTCAACGGCCAAATATGTTACTGAAACGGGACATAGTGTGTATGCATAAACGTCATTTATTCCCATCTATAAGACCTGTTGCGGAGATATTTTAGAGTTTGTTGAGGCATTAGTAGTTGGGAGGTTTAAGCCACGTTTATACATATTAAATTTATTTGTTTGATGTATAACACAGTGATACAACAAATAAAGAAATTTAATATACAGTTATATTCTACCAGTGCCCAATTTTCGGAATTTTCCTCTCATGCATAACTATTTCATCAACTTCAGTCCCTTGCATCATCTATCACAGAGGTTGATCCCGTCAATAACGTCTTTTTGACTTGTTAAATGTATTTTTATATCTCCTCATAAGTATGTTTCTATATTATTTAGGTTGTAAGCAGTTGAGAAGAACCTTCGAAGCAATAAAAATGAGTTCATGTTATCCTGCTACACTTGTCCTTTTTGGAGTACTATGATATTACTCAAAACGTGAACGTTTCCGTTGATTGGTCGCTGGAAGTGGGTTGAGGTAACCAACTTCATGATTTCTTGTCCTGTATGCTGATCAAATTAGATCGATAATGTTGAAAAAGTGGTCACCAGGGTTAGAGACTCGTAGTTGCAATTCACCGGCATAGATGTTAGTTAGATGGAGGCAATCTTCAGGAAGCCTTGTCAGACCGAAGTTTCATGCTCTTTAGCACTCGTCAGCTGGGCACATCTTCAAATTCGATGGAACTAACGTCACAACTGAGGTTTGTACCCACGTTGCTCTGTGCCGAAGTCCAACTAATGTGTCTATTAATGCATGATGATGCTGACTCTCCCAGTCTGGTAACCACGTTGCACAGTGGTGGAAAAAATTTGATCAGCATATAAGACTAAACTACATGGTTATCCTCTAGTGACCAAAAAATGTATGCAATCCAGTTTTACAGGAGGTCAGTCGTGACCCGAATAGCTCAGTGGCATTGCCTCTAACCACTGCACTGGGTGACGCTGGTTCGAATCTCAGGCGAGAAATCAGTTCCATCGAGCTTACAGATATGCCTTGTTGACAAGTGGGAAAAGACATAAAGTCTAGATCCAAGGTTTCCTACCCATTGGCTCTATCCAGATCACATGAATATTTGTTTTGCTTCTCAATATGATAACCACTGCAAACGAATGAATATTTGATCAAATACCACTATTCCTATCAATACAAATATATGCAACAATGAACTCGTCTTAGAACGTAAGTGCCTCAGCAAACTACCATCCTTACTTAGAAGATAGATTACATTGCAAACTGAATGCAACTGGAGAAGTCCATAAGAGTATTGGATAACTATCACACTTAAGTCAAGAAAACTACATTCTGCACTGTGTTATCTATTAAACCTGCAACCCTTCTTCGAGTCAGTCAATTTGAAAACCTTGGCAATTTTGAATATTTTTCAAACTTTAATGCGTTATTCAAAGTATGAGATGGGAAAGTGGACATCTTAGTACAGTAACATTTCATAAAAAACAAGGAAGATCTTTGACTAATGCATTATCCTCTACGTTGTTCATATGATTTTATGACAAAATTATGCAACAATTCATGAAATATTCATGAAATCAATGTGTGTTTTAGGAGGAAACCTCTCTATTTAGGCCTTTGTTCCTAGAATTATAATTCACTAATTAAAACACTCATGACTTAAACAAAAGATGACAACTAAAATAAAGACTTGATTGTATATAACTGCCAAGAAGACCTAAGAGTTCATGTAATTACATAATGATGTTAGCCAGTTGTTCAGATATAGACCTAGTTAATATGAAGTTGGTTACAACGTAATTATTTTAAAGTGCTTTGATAACTTCTGATTAAAGTTCTTCTATCAATAAAATTATTTTTCTAGTATGTCTGGAGTGACTCATTAGTGAAACATTAAAGTTTTGCATTTCATTAGCATATAATGCAAACTGCTTAGGACGTTTAAATAGCCACGTTTGGAATATTTGTACACAAGATTACGTACCTTTAGTCTCAAAGTAGCCTCTTCTGCACTACTTATATCGTTGTTTTCTGTATCCAGAGATTCCGATATCAATCGTGATTTATTCTCATTATCTACATGATCATTGTTATCGTTGGTAGTGTTATCATCATTCAGTCTAGTAAAAAAAGAAGAATTTTTCGATGATTTTGATTTTCGACGAACACAACAGCTAAACATTCGATTACAAGAATACTTTTGTTGACTCTTATTTCCTTTAGTACATTTTTCCTGTGTTTTTGTCTTTTCACAAATGGGGTGGAGACAGCCATCATTATCATAATTATTTTTACGGATAGTCGATGGTTGCATTGCAGCAGTTTCTTCATCACTTGTATTGAATTTTTGTTTAGCACTCACTATTGTTCGATTAGATCTTCTTGATGATGATGGAGGAGAGGATAATGACTGGGAAGATAAAGGTGATGACTGAAAACAAGTCGATTCATTTCGATCTTCTGATAGTCCAAACATAATATGCAACATGAATGACTGGAATTAGCATAAACTTTGGAATCGTAGTTAGTTGGCATACAATTGAATAATATATTGTTAATTCGGCTTTTCTGATAGCCTGATATTGTTATAAATGTTCACTAGTGTTAACTGTAATTCCTTGTTTGTTATATTTTCTAATTAGTTTGCTATGATCTCATGATTTAAGAAGCCTTAAATATTAGATACACTGACCAATTATATACTATTTTCTAAACAATATGTGTAAATGGTAATACCTGAATATCTTTGGTTGTCATAACTCACTGGTAAGATGATGAAAACATTTTTCTACACACTGTGAATTTTACTTACACACATCATGTGTACACATACCTAATGTATATACCTACAGGCTAAAAAATGTTCGACTACTGAATTCATTTGTTGATAAATTTACTAGATTTTATCTACTGGACTCACTAAGAGAATCAATATCCTCTTGTCATTATTTTGAAGATACATGAATCACAGTAAGAAAGAAACATATCTCTTAAGAAGTTAGATAATAATAAAATAGTTATTATGAATGTGATACATGTTGTGAATGTAATATCAGAGTCCTAAGTCTAGCTGCCCGTATATTTAAGCAGTTTCCTAATTCAGATTTGTTTTTTTTTGTTATTTATCTCATGATTTTCTGTGATTTTTAGTAGACATCAACTGATGAAAGTATGTATATGTAAGCAATTTGAGATAAAGTACAGTTTATGCTTGTCGGTGACCCTGAGACAAGATTAGACAATAATCAATAAATGAGTAAGATGCTTTAATTTAACATTTGTTTTTGGATCTATTCATATTACAGTACATATTACAGTACAATAATTGGAAATTTAAAATTGTTAAAAATTCTTAAAGTTTTGGTTAAATAATTAGTTGTTACGTGGTCAGGTGCTCGAAATCGATTATTCTCTAAAGAAATGTGTGCTTTTTATGTCTTTGCACTAAAGCTTTGCTATCAGACTGAATTTATTGATCGATTTCTTAAATCTACCAACACAATTCGTTTAGTGAATGCAAGCTTACACGCACTCACGAATACACGTTTCAAGCGCATGTAACTAGAACCTTTCTAATTGAGACCTATGCTAGGGTGAACACACTCAGGTAACAATTATTGTGATCAATATCCTATGAATATATTGCTTCAGATAAAGAATATGCAGCTTGACGATAAACACTAGAGAGTTGTGGAAAATTTATCGTTTTAAATGTTTAGTTGGAAAAGGGTACCATTTATGAGGAATCCAATAAAATTGTGAAAAAAGGCTAACCTACAATACTTAAGAAATGAACAATTTTGTTTTAATGAAGGGAATTATGACCTATGAATTATAGTTACTAATACTAACTACTTTTAAAAGGTAATGTTGTCTTGACCATATAGTTAGGTGTCAGCTGTTCCGTACTTATTTGAATCTGGTACCAGTTTATTCGTCACTAGACTGTTTTTTCCTTACATATGAGCATTGTAAGTTAGCAACCAAATGGCTGTTCATTTGTCATACCATAAGGCTGATTAAACTACAGTTTTAGCCAAACCTTAGCAAACGAGTTGGGTTGTCTACTGACTACACAGTGACTTGCTGAAATTAATGCAATAAATGAAACACTGTACACACAAGCCTTGGAAGCGTTTTCATATTTTTAATGTCTATTGCCCGGTCACATAACTTAGGTGGGATTGAAGCTTAAAAAGGCGGTGTGAACGATTACAAACTCTTTTATCACGCCAGATAAAAATCACAGATAGAATACAGCTTTGAAGATTGCTTGAACAGTGTTATTACCACAAATTAAACTGTTAGGTAGGCAATTCGAAGACAACCATGAGTATACAAAAATAAATTACGGTTGAGAAAATATTTATGTATTATGTCAGAGATTTTGAAGAATGTGTGGGTAGTTTCCATTTCTGCTGTTTCGAAATTTAAGCAGGTGTTCGCTACTCTTCAGTTAAACTCTGTATCACTTCATATGTACTACCTACGTTTTACACCTACTAAGTTTTACGAATTGTAGTGTCACAGAGAAATAAAGAAACGAAATTGCGTTTCATTTGCCTTACTACATTAATTGGCCGCTGTATAATGACAAGTGTCACTGTTATTTTGTACTTTATATTGACAAAATTTAAGGATGAGAAGATTAGCTGTTTAGGTAATTCAGCAATAATGCATGGCACTGTAAAATTGAATGATACGTCCTCACATTTTGGACAGTGTATTCATCCTCTAAAAGGGTACAGATAAGGACGTGGTGAATAGATAAACACTCAGTCAGGCCTCAGTACTAATTAGTCTTTCCGCAACGGATCTTCAGGCTTTTTAAGTATTTAACTTCCTGAAAACACTCATTTGTAGTCTTAGATTGTTCTTTATTCATGATGATTACTACTATATTGATAGATCTGATAAAATATATCACTGACTTCAGTTTTAATTAACCAGGCAGCTGTTCAGAACCTACATAGAAATGAGCCACGGTCAACAGCAACAAAAGAACTAAAAATCTGATGTGTGGAATTCGGTCGACACTGAAGGTCTTATAACTTATTATTAACAAATTTCACAATAAGGTGTTAATGAATATATGAGTCATATCTGTTCAAAAAAATTAGCACTCATTCAATAAGTGTAGCTGACTGTATGTAGTTGACATGAGATAAATTGAACTTAATGAGAAAGAAATCGATAACTGTGCTTATTGGAATTAACTCACTTACTCTGTAGCCATATCAAAATATTTTTTAGATGATATAACAACATAACCACATTTCTAATTAAGTTAGTAGTACAAGTATATATGTACAGAATTTCAGAGTATTGAAAGCGGGTCATTTAAGTAGTTCTTAGTGCTATGCAATAGTAAAAGTATACTGTGAACTCAGCAACTTATTCTGAAAGTCAAATTTGGTTGAATTTATATTTCAATATTTAGCAGAATTTAAATTACTTGTTAATCCGCTTTAGCAAGAGGATCTAAAACCATATAGGAGAAAGACAAACAAACAAATCAAAGTAGAAACTCACGCAAAAGTACTGCCTTTCAAGTTATCATATAGCACGCAAAGAACAGATGCGTAGAAGAAAAATTATTTCACAGTGGATAAAAGTGCTCGGGAGGAGAGAGAATTCAAAAAATGGAGACTACACTTCAAAGAATGGATAGATTTGCTTTATGTAATCAATATTCAGCAGCTACACCAATAATCTTCTACCACTTATTTCTCTTATCTTGAGAACTTCATCCAGTTTCACATCACATCACTACACACTCAGGTCAACGCTAACAGACCTTATCAACTGGTTCCATATCTCAGTCTGGCAACTCTAAGCCTCCATCTAACCTTATTCTACTTCTAGTAGCATCTGGAGTCGGGTTCGATTATTATTGGTATGTGTTTCACAGGTACAAACCACCAAAGTCAGTCACAGTTCGTAGCCTTATTGACTGACCTTTCTAGCCTGGTGTGCTGAGCCCAACCTTAGTATTTCACACACCATTTATCTACCACAAAACGTTATTGCTACGATGATGCCTTTGGTAAAGATCTGTTGTCCCTTAGTTTCTTCTACTTTAAGATGTCATTTCTCATTGTCATATTTTACGACATAATAAAGTGCACGGCAGTATACTCGTTATTAAATAATTAGCTGGATATCACACCAACTCCAGATATGATGCCAGTTGCCAACTGCTAAATGAGTCTTTGTATCCGAGCTAAGATTCTGTTAGCAAAGGACCCAGTTGGGTCAATCTGATTCCCTAACTGAAGCGCTCAGAGAATTCTACCAGTTCACTCCCTATCCTTAAAACATCAGATGATGAGCATCAGTTTTGAAGTACCATCTTACATTCTATATGTGCTAAGTAAGTGCCTAATGTACTCGAATTTCTGCCCAAGGCGTTCGGAAAGCTCTGTATTCTTTTAGGGTCTACACTCAACAGGACCAGATGGCCTGAATACTCCGAGTCAACTAGCTATCTTCCTAGGAGTAAGTCAGTACCTGAAAAATTAGCTATACCTGGAGTTACTTCCATTAGCACGTCAATGAAGTAGTTTAAAAAGAACGGTGGTAGTGAACAACCCTGGCGAACACCACTGCTTTTCGTTAATTTAAACGAAAACTCTCCATGAACCCTAACATCAGTTGCCTAATTCTGAGTCCAGGACTTGCTATATATTTCTTTCAGAGTCAAACGCTGCTCAGTAGACCCGAATGCAACCCTTAAGCCAAAAAATGTAATACCTGTGTACCTGTATAACTGTTTCAAATTTTATGGACGCACCCTCATCTGGCTGTGAAACCCGCTTAGTCTTCTAAAGTTTGTTGTTCTTGAGGTGTGGTAAGACGTCGTATAACTACGGACTGTAGGATCTTGGAGGTGAATTTACTCAATATAACTCCTTTGCATCACAGAAATACTAAAAACAGCAGGTTACGGTTATGTGGTAATGAAAGATCTAGGGTTTGTAATCTGAATGATTATTAAAAGATTCATCCAATAAGGATTTCAGAACAAACTTTCCAGTAGGTACTACTACTGGTTTACAAAACCAAACAAGCCCCAGTTTTTGGTAAAACGGTTCTTCGATTCCAATGTATTTGGGTGAAATTCCTCTTAATTTATAATGTAGGTTTTTTATGAAACTGATAAACACTGAGGATAATCTGAATCCATCATACCAATCTTTATTTAACCTTCCTAATAATAATTGTTTCTGAAAATCTTTTTAGACTTTTATTGATTCTTGTGATTTCCAGTTGGTATAATGAGTTGAATTACTTGACTTTCGTTAGCAAATGGGCTCCTATGCGAATGTCTCGATGCTGTTTGATTATTTCGCACTTTATGAATCTGATTTCAATAAACGTCTGTTGTGAACCTCGATATACTTTGTAATGGCAAGGCAAGTGTTTACTAGATCTTTTTATATACTATAATAAGGGTGCGCTCAGTTAGTTTTGAAAAACGTTTTAGATTGCTTGTGGAACATACAAACAAGATAGGTTCATCTATCATATTTAATGGAAGCTCAATTTCATTTTAGTAATATCAGGAATCAGCATGACAAATTTTAAAAAAAGCGCGCGAAAACAAGCGTAAATATATTGAAACAATTCACTGTGGATTTTGTTGAAA